CCTAGAGCTTCCCCTGGTAGCAAATACACTGTCTCCATGCACACAGGCAATCAATGTTTGCAGAATGCTGCAGTGAAAGTTGACAAAGCTGGACTCAGTTGTCCAGCTAAGTGTAAGAAAACTTCCTCAAACATTCTATATTTACTATTTTTGCATGCAGAAACACCCAAATTCAGTCCCTGGAAGAAATGGTAAATTACACGAAAGCTTCTCAGTGGAATGCTGGAGAACTACTGCCAGACTGAGTAAACAAGACTAAATTAGACGGACAGTTATTCTGACCTCATAACTTTCTATATTTTGTTCCAAATATTGCTGGCCTAATATCTCCTTTGGATCTTTCCATCCTTTTTCTAATGTTTCTGTATTATCCCACTATAGCATATTTAACAGCATCTGATTTCTGATGTATCCAGTGCTGTTGTTAATGACCTGTTGTAAGCTACCTTTATTAGATAGTCTTTTTTTGGTGTTATTTAAAAATAAGCCATATTAATTATACTCAGATCGAAATTATCTCATCATTAGTCTGGCATACAAATTATAAACACATAATCCTAGATATACAGAAAAAATAGGAAGTACTGATGTATGTTTATCTATTCACTTTTTATAGCTGTCAATTTGGCATGCAAGTTAAAAACAGCAAATACCAACAAGCAAAAGAATAACAGTTAATAAAACATCCTGCCCCAGAGGTGGCTAAAACAACCAGAAACCATCAGTCAAGAGAGGCTCCTGACTTAGTGCCTGAGGGAATGCGTCTTCGGAGACATTTGGAAGCAGGCAGGATCAGGACCAGCCAGATCTTGGGTGGAATGCGACATAAAATAGAGAAAAAAGAAAAAAGAATCAAATTCAGATAAACCTTCATACCTGTTAAAGAAGTTAAAACATTACTAAATTCTATAAATAAATAACTAATTTTACATTTTAGCCAAAATTCTAGCAGTTTAAAAGACAAGATAAAGTAGTCAGTTGATAGCTGATATTGCAACTGTAAATAAATAGTTTATGCCATGAATTTATCAATAAACTGGCCTAGGTGTTTGCTTGTTTGTTTTATTAACCTCATAGAAAAGCAATTTCTAGTAGTTTACTAAATCCTAGCCAAAGAGGAAAAGAAAGTCAAAATACTGGGTGGCAACCACATTATCTAGTATAAAATTGCACTAGCAGTTTCTTAGTCTTTCAGGTGCCATAAAAATCTTCATTGTTTTGGTTCCAAAAGATTCATGTGCTTGTTCCTCCAATTATTGTGCTAATGTATCTCAAGTTGTTGCACTTTAGACGAAAGGCTAATTATAGTTAAATATTCCTTAACTGACAAACACATGTAGAATCCCCTTCATGTATGAATATGTCATTATTTTCTTTATATGCTGTCAAAAAGCTCTGTGAGCAATTTAATGTGCTCCGCCCTATAAACTCCACAGACAGACAGATGGACAGAGATACCACACTATTTCCAGATGCAGTAAAGCACTGTTATGCAAACTGCAGAAAAAAAGGAAAACATAGTAAGCAAAATAAATTAAAAGCAGGAGATAAAAGGCAAAATCTAGCTATGTCTAGGGTTTCCCTGCACATCCCATCTGCATGGGACTAACCAGCTGATGAGGCCATGTCAACGTGACAAAGATCCCATCCTGTTGCCAGCCTGTTGCTGAATAGCATTTTTCTTCTTATCACAACTCTTTAGGGTGCCTGGAGGAGGAGGGGCCTTTGGAGATGAGTGGTCTCTTGGGCTTCAGCTGGCACTTTGTTAGGATTGACCCTCCTGTCCAGTTGTTCTGCTCTGAAACTCCATGACCATTTTGGATTTGCCTGCAGGAGAAACCAGGTAGTTCAACCAATCCTGTAGGGAGCTGCTTTTTCCCCTTCCCTTCCCTTCCCTTCCCTTCCCTTCCCTTCCCTTCCCTTCCCTTC